TTTTTTGAGGCAGTGTCTTGCTCTGTCACCTAGGCTGGAGTGCAGTGACATGATCTCGGCTCACTACAACCTCCACCTCCTGGTTTCAAGCAATTCTTCTGCCTCAGACTCTTGAGCAGCTGGGACTAGAGGTGTGTACCACCACATCCAGCTAATTTTTTTGTATTTTTAGTAGAAACAGGGTTTCACCGTGTTAGCCAGGATGGTCTCGATCTCCTGACCTTGTGATCCACCCGCCTCAGTCTCCCAATACGTAGCTCTTAAAACCATATCATATCCCTTTCCAGTTCCAGCCCCAAAGGTGCCCAACCTTCGTGGGCACCCTGCAGCCACTGAGCTGTTGATACTTAAGAAGGATTGCCATTTGTGAACTCCTTTTAAAGGAGGGAGTCACGGTGATCAAGAGGGATGTCCTCATGCCTAAGCACCCAGAGCTGGCAGACGAGAAAGTGCCCAACCTTCGTGTCATAAAGGCCATGCAGTCTCTCACATCCCAAGGCTATGTGAAGGGACACCCTGCCTGGAGACATTTCTATAGATACCTTACCAATGAGGGTATCCAGAATCTCCATGACGACACCCATCTGCCCCCCAAGATTGTGCCTGCCACCCTATGCCACAGCTGTCCAGAGACTGGTAGGTCTCTGCCTAAAGGTCTGGTGGGTGAGCCACCTGCAAGACCCATAAGAGGGGAAGCCGACAGCCTGCTGCCAACAAGAAAGCTAAGGCCAGGGCTGCGTCAGCAACTGAATTCCAGCGTAGAGGCAGATTTGGTCAGCCACCTCAGTAAAATTGGAGAGGATTTTTGTTTTGTTTTTAGATTTTTCGAGACAGGGTCTCGCTCTGTCGCCCAGGCTGGAGTGCAGTGGCGCGATCTCGGCTCGTTGCAAGCTCCACCTCCTGGGTTCAAGCGATTCTCCTGCCTCAGCCTCCTAATTTTTGCATTTTTAGTAGAGACAGGGTTTCACCACGTTGGCCAGGCTGGTCTCGAACTTCTGACCTCAGGTGACCTGCCCGCTTCAGCCGCCCAAAGGGCTGGGATTACAGGCGTGAGCCACCGCCCCCAGCTAGAGGTGGCTCTGTCAGGTGGCTATTTTGCATTGAATAAACTTATAGTCAGAGAGAAGAAAAAAATATATATATATGTATATATATATATATATGTATATATGTATATATATATATATATAATTGAATGAAAAATTTCAGAGCCTGCCCTTCCCTAACACTCTGCCTGCTACCTGTCAGGACATGTCTCCATTTGTCAGTCTCCTGGTCTCTCTTTGCCACTCACTGTTCTGTGAGATCTCTGGAGCTGGAGACTCAAAGTGCCTGCCACTGTGGCTGACATCAAGTAAGGCTCAATAAGTGGCTGCAGGATAAGTCTGTGGTGTGAGGGGAAGCACAGGGAACATGGTTATGCAGGAAGCTGGTCGCTGCCCTGGGCAGTACCTGGACTTCTGGGAGAAAGAAGCCCCAGGTGTGCAAATTGCAAGAGGCACGTGGTGGGGGAAGGGAGAATAGGGAAAGGGGTTTGAAGAGATGGAGAGAGTGAGATCAGGGAGGGCAGGGGAGGGATAAGTGGACATAAGGCAGATGCCTGTTGGGAGGGATACTGACCTGGAAGGAGCTTGGCAGAAGGAATTATAAGAAGGAACTGGTTCCAAACAGGGAAGGCTAAGGAGTTGGAGGAGTTCCTGGCCACATCCTCACCTGGCCCTCTTTCCCCTGTGGAAATTCCCAGCCCTTTGGGGATTATACCAGGCAATACAGATAGGAAGAAAAGCAAACAGCCTGTTGATAATGACTAATGTAAACTGGATCTCGTGCCAGTGAGGATGTAGCTGGGGAGGAACACAGATGTTCTCAAATCTTTCTCATTTAGCTGATGAAATCCACTGAATTCCTGCTTTGAGCAAGACACTGAGCTAGGTACAAAGATAAATCTAATATAGATCCTGCTCTCAACGAGCTTACAGTATAATAGAGGGTACAATCAGTGTGTCCTGGGGGTGGTGGCATGGCTCACGCCTGTAATTCCAGCACTTTGGGAGGCTGCAGTGGGTGGATTGCTTGAGGTCTGGAGCTTGAGACCAGCTTAGCCAATATGGTGAAACCCCGTCTCTGCAAAAAATACAAAAAGTAGCTAGATGTGGTAGCACACACCTGTAATCCCAGCTATTTGGGAGGCTGAGGTGGCAGGATCACTTGAATTTGGGAGTTGGAGGTTGCTGATAGCGAGCCAAGATTGTGTCACTGCACTCCAGCCTGGCAACAGAGCAAGACTCTGTCTCAAAAAAAACAAAAGCCGGGGGCGATGGCTCACGCCTGTAATCCCAGCACTTTGGGATGCTGAGGCAGGCGGATCATGAGGTCAGGAATTTGAGACCAGCCTGGCCAGCATGGTAAAACCCCATCTCTACTCAGGCGGCTGAGACAGGAGAATTTCTCGAACCCAGCAGGCAGAGGTTGTAGTGCGCCAAGATCACGCCACTGCACTCCAGTCTGGGCAACAGAGAAAAACTCGGTCTCAAAAAAAAAAAACACACACACCCCAAAACAACAATGAAAAACAGTGTTCTCTCTGAGTCAAATGTCCATTCTGTGGCCCATAGAATGTATTCACAAGTTGCATGGAAACTCAAGAGTTCAATTCAAAGCTCAATGATATTGAGCTACATTGGTACTGAATACTTAATAGTATTAAATACTATTAAGTTGTCAGAGATATGGTAGGCCTTAGTGGGGAGAGCAGCTTCCATTCTGAGAATTGAGAAAGGAATATTCAGAAGGTGACATTCAAAGTCCAGCCTCATCTCTGGTACTGAACAGGTGGCATCTACACTGATGAGGAAAGAGCTCTACTATTAAAGTCAAGAAAGCAAGATGTAGAAAGTTTGTAGAGTACACTATAAATTCTGTTTTCTAAAGTGGAGTATATGTTCGTGTGTGTACATTTATTTGTATATGTGATGGGAGAGGCATGAATAGTGGTAGTAAATGTTTAACAACGGGCTTTTGAGGCGGCGGGGCTTGGGGGGCCCTGGTGTGTAGGGTCTGCCGATTTCCATGGTGCAAATATTCACACCATGGCTGATCTCAAGCACCAATGTGATGTCACTGAATGTGGAGTTGGAAGAGAGAAACACACTAGGTCACCGTTTCTCTCTCCCTCTCTCTCTTTTTTTTTTTTTTTTTTTTT